ATGCATTATCTCCTTAACTTCTCACAACAAAACTATTCAGCACTATTATTATTACCAATGAATAGATATAGATAGAGAGAAAAAGAGCAAGAAAGTAACTTGAAAGTACTTTGTCTTGGCATTGAGGACAAGTGTGAAGAACCTGATCCCACCATTTCCCAGGTGCTTTATTTACCATCAATTTTTCCATCAATTGTATCATATTTGGGTATATTACCAGTGTTTATTCAAAAAGTATCACATAGGATCAAGAACATGGGGAACAACTGACCTTAATTTTAAAGATGAGATAAATAATCTTACCAGGAGTCACCAGAGTATTAATTTCAAAGACTACCTTCAAGAAGTTAAGTCACGAGTACCCATAGTTTAGAATCCATTCACACGACTGGGTCTAATGACTTTTTTCATATCTTCTGATGAGGAATTAATTATATACAAGCTCTTTGTTTGTTTGTAAAGCAATGTATATAATAATTTGTTAATATATAAGCTAAAGTTCTTTAGAATTTTGTTCCTCTTGTTATCTTATTTGTCATATTTTTTTGGACTTTTTACCATAAATGGTGGATGAATGGTTTGATTGATTTTGATTAAAAAAAAATAATAATAATATATATTATTATTTATATTTATTAATATATATATATATATATATATATATATTAATAAATATAAATTATATAATAAATTCTACAAACTGAGGAAGGGAGAGGGATAGAGAGCTAGAAACATCGATGTGAGAGAAACATCGATCAGCTACCTCCTCCACACCCCCTACCAGGGATGTGCCCACAATTAAGGTACATGCCCTTGACTGGAATCGAACCTGGAACCCTTCAGTCTGCAGGCTAATGCTCTATCCGCTGAGCCAAACCAGTTTTGGCTTTATAATATATCTTATTTTTCATGGAAAGGAAAGAAAAGGGGTGGAGAGTTAGAAACATTGATGAGAGAGAAACATTGATGAGAGAGAAACATTGATCAGCTGCCTCCTGCACAGCTCCTCCTGCACAGCTCCTACTGAAGATTTGCCCACAACCAAGAGTATTTTGATAGAATTGTCCTTGACCAAAATTGAGCCTAGGATCCTTCAGTCCACAGGCCAACGTTCTATCCACTAAGCAAAACTAGTTAGGGCATGATTGATTTTTGTTACTGGACAAACCTTCTATTTAAAAAAAATTATGTATAGCTTATATCTTTAAATGTGTTATATGATCGTACCATATATATATGTACGGTCATATATATATATCCTTTCTGATAATAGAGTAATATGCAAATTAACCACCACTTTGCTACACCCACAAGCCATGCCCACCAGCCAATCAAAGTGAGTATGCATATTGACCCCAATCAAGATGTGGCCACAGAGAGCAGGAGAGAGGCTTGGGTTTCCTTTGCAATGGAGGAAGCCAAGCTTTCCACACACCCTGGCAGGTCCAGGCCTCCATTCCAGGGTATAATGTTTCAATTATAGAAGGTAAATAAATTCCAACAGAAATGGTGGCAGCCACAGAGCTGGAATAGCAGGAGGCTAGGCTTGCCCTGGGACAATGGAGGGAGCCAAGCTTCTGCAGCCCTGGCTGGCTCAGGCCTTCACTCCAGGCTACAAAGTTTCAAATATAGAAGGTATAAATTCCTACAGAAATGGCTGCCACCAGGGAGCGAGCAGGAGGGTTGGCTCCGCTCCGGGATACAAAGTTTCAATTGTAGATGATAAATAAAGCCCAGATACCAGGGCCACCACTTGGGTCAGTGGGAGCATAGCTGGCCTACAAATCAACACAGGCCCCTCACCCAGGCTGCCCACACACCAAGGAAACACCTATCCATGCACCAGGCCTCTATACTATCTAATAAAAGAGTAATATGCAGATAGACCATCACTCCAACACACAATATGGCTGCCCCCATGTGGTCAAAGATCCTGCCCCCATGTGGAGACAAGATGGCCACCACAAGATGGCCAGCAGGGAAGGGCAGTTGGGAGCCACCAGACCTGCATGGGAGGGCAGTTGGGGGTGATCAAGCCTATAGGGGAGGGCAGTTAGGGGTGACCAGGCCAACAGAGGAAAGAAGTTGGGGGCAAACAGGCTGGCAGAGGAGCAGTTAGGCATCAATCAGGCTGGGATGGGAGTGGTTAGGGGGTGATCAGGCTGGCAGGCACAAGTGGTTAGGGGCAATCTGGAAGGCAGGCAGGCGAGCAATTAGGAGACAGTAGTCCTTGATTGTGAGAGGGATGCCCAACTGCCCATTTAGGCCCGATCCACCCTTTGAGGGGTTCCAGATTAGAGAGGGTGCAGAATGGGCTGAGAGACACCCCCCCCTCTCCCCTGTGCACAAATTTAGTGCACTGGTCCTCTAGTATGTATATCTTTTTATATCATCTATCTACAAGTTGGTTTTCTAATCTGATTTTATCACAAAAAGTTGTTAAATCAGGGATAATTATATATTTTGATCAACCACAGTGATTATTAATGGCTCTCTGGAGCCCTCAGTTGTTAGGATTCTGAGTTTAGAGAGACCTGTGTGAAAATCAGGGATACTTGTATAAGGTAAGGACTGGGATATATAAGAATACGATGTCACATTTTTGGTACCTTGAAGGAAGGTTGTTATTCCAGAATAAATGAGTACTGAGGAAAGGTTGTATACTAAATTATCTATTCTAATAAAAGGGTATTATTCTAATTAGACAGGGTGGCCAGCCATCTTCCGGATGTCTGACTTCCTTTCATAAAAAGCCATGGTGGTGGAGGGCTGAGGCAGAGCAGGCCAGTAGGTGAGGGCAGTTGGGGGCCATAAGGCTGGCAGGGGAGGGCAATTGGGAGCTATCAGGCCAGCAGAGCAGGGTAGTTGGAGGCCATTGGGCTGGCAGAGGTGGTTAGGGGCGATCAGGCAGGCAGGCAGGCAAGTAGTTAGGAGCCAGCGGTCCCGGATTGTGAGAGGGATGTCCCAGATGGGAGAGGGTGCAGGCAGGGCTAAGGAACACCACCCTCTGTGCACAAATTTCTTGCACTGGGATTCTAGTTTTTAATAGATATATTTATTAGCTTATTTTATTTGGTAGCAGGAACAATTTGAGAATCTCATGAGAATGTGTAGGGCCAGCTAAGCAGCAAAATGCATCCTGATAGCAAGAAATGGCTTAAAAGAAGTCTGCAGATAAAGCTCATTAATGCCACATTTTGCCCAAAGCAACCTTGGTTTCAAGTAACATTTTTTATTATTATTATTATTATTATTATTATTATTATGCATTTGTTCTTAAAGGAATCAGCTGTCCCTTGAATCCACTCAGAATAGAGGATTTACTTATGGTACTCACCAAAGCTCTTTGATCTTATAGAAAACACTTTTTAAATAAATGACAAATAAGTTTACATTGAAATATTTAATTTGTTAGACAGTTGCAGATATGCATTTATATATGTATGTTTTTTTAATATTTATGGAAGATGGGAAAATGGAGCATAGTAGATGAAATAAGAACTAGAAAAATTTCTTATACTCTACATTGATGCATTAAGTTAGAGATGTAGAGGGATCACAGATAGCAAGATTGGTTATTAATGACCATAAATTCTCAACAGAAAATTTCCTTACCATATCAAAGCCATACAGAAAAATGAATCAAACAGTGAATATTAACACTTAGAACCCAGAAGGTATGGCTAAGTGGGTGAGTTTTAACTCATGAAGCAGGATATCACAGGTTGATTCCAGGAGAGAGCACATGACCAGGTTGCAGTTCCATCCCTGGTAGGGGACATGAAGGAGGCAGCCAATAGATGATTATTTCTCATTATTGATGTGATTGTTTTTCTCTTTTTCTCCCTATTCCTTGCTTCTGAAATCAATAAAAACATATTAAAAAATAAAGACTTAGAAAATAGAGTCATGTCCAATGTGCAGAAGAAAAGTGATCTGCTGTTAAGCCTAAAACCTTTCTGAAAAGTAAGGAAGTCAGAGAAAGAGTAGGGATTGTAGGAAAAAAAAAAAAAAAAAAAAAAAAAAGAAAAAAGAAGACAAAATATAAAATGATAGGGAGAGAAAAATAAGAAAAATAGGGTAAGGGGAGAAGATATTAAAACTATTGTATTGCTATTGTATGATGAAATTCTGATCCTCGTATTTCATAAGTCAACATAAATAATAATGAGACTGTTTATATCTTAATAAAAATTACCTAATTAAGTTCCATTCAATATAAATATATGCTGTCTAAATATTTAATTTTTCTTAGTCATTCTAAATCATTATTGTAAGAAAGATTTACATTTGAACAATTGCCCAAGATATCTTATGATCCTGTAATGCTGATGTAATTTCCCTTTTGGTTTATTTATATGTAATTAGTTAGTTTTTGTCAATGTAATGCATTAATTACACTCCAGAATTTCTAGGTCTTTTTGTTTTCTGACTCAGAAAAATTAATCTGTATTCTTTAGTTCATAAAAAGCTTAACATTTCATTAGGAACATATCATATCAAATTTATAAAATGTGCACTGTACCTTTGCCAATGCCTGCATTACTCCTGGGAGATAATCAGTCATTTGGAAAAGCACATTTGCTCTTGGAATACTGTCCTGTTCCAAACTATTGTCTTTTATATTTTTTTTACTTCCAAATTTACTACAATCTGACATTTTCTTTCCTTTACAGAAAACACCCCAAAGTTCTTTATCATTGCATATGTATTATTTTTACTTTTCCTAACTGCCTATGGCTTTTTCCCCTACTTTTTTTTTTCTGTTCTAACTTGATTACTCTTCCCCCATCCCCCAATTTTGTGAAAAGATATAGAGGAAATAAAATGAACTGTAATAAAACAAAAGATTATTTCAATGTTAACCTCTAACATTGAACATGTTCTGGAGAAAGGGTTCATATGAAATTATTATGACAGAACATGTCATTTATAAATAAAAAAATCTATTTGAAGAAAACAATCCCCAATAATTCCTAATGCAATGCTTTTAAAAGTACCTCAGCTTGGCCAATAGGTATGTTTTCATAGTTGTATAAATCATCCAGGTCTTCCAAGGTGGCATCATAAGTTTCTGAGTCATAGTTGATGGGCTCTAATGTTGGAGCAGTCACAGCAGCATCAAAGATGACAAGTCCCAGAACAAGTCTTGCTAATGCTTTCATTTTTCAAACTTCCCTAATAATAAAATATTAACATATATAAATATTTAATTTATAATAACTTATGGATAGTTTGCCTTAAACAGGAATGGTAGATAAATCAATGTCAACACTGAGGAACTCAAGCTGGTAGCTTTCTTCCCATGAGTAATTTATAAACATAACACAATAATTTGCATGCTTTCTGATGACAATTGATGCCAGATATTCAAATTAAGATGCAAACCTATCAATATTTTTACAATAGATACTGTAAATACAGTGAAATTGATTTTTATAAAGAAACATGGTGCAAACTGCATCCAGAAAGATTGTAATATACTTATTTCCAAAAGTCTTTACATTACCTAAGTATTAAGATTGTTTCATCAACTCTGGAATGTAGGATTGATGATGACGAGGATGATTCTGATCAGTATAACTGTCACACTGTTTTACACATGAGAATACCAAGACAGAGTTGGCTTATCCTACAAGTAGGACTTATAACTATTTCTTGTATATTTCCTTTACAGAAAACATCCTAAAATTCTTTATCATTGCATAAGTATTATTTTTACTACAAGCCTAAGGTCTTTTCAGACAAAATAATAAGGATATTTTTTCTTTTCACTTCTATTTGCTCTGGGTGTTATTAAAATACAGATCATTTAATATGTACATGTGTTAATATTTTATGCAATATTTTCAAAACTTATTCTTAACTAAATGAAGCATAACAGAAAAGATATTTTTTCTTTAATCCTTAGTGTTTTATTTCAATTCTTAATACCTAAGTTATCTAAGGATTAAACTCAGCATCAATAGGGATATACACTGAGTGGCCAGGTTATTATGCAACATAATAATCTGGCCACTCAGTGTATATCCTATATAATAAAGGGCTAATATGCAGTGTCCCCTTGACAAGGAGTTCGACCAGCAGGCAGGCTGGCCAACTGCCAATGTCCCAATGTCTCCTCCCCCTAGCCAGGCTGGCCGGAGCCCACCCATACATGAATTCATGCACTGGGCCTCTAAAACACACACACACACACACACACACACACACACACACACACAGAGTGGCCAGATTATTATGAGTTCAGAGATCATAATAATCTGGCCATTCAGTGTATGTGTAAAAGGCACTATTTGGAGAAATCCCTTAAAGGAGGATCTGTGCACAAAAGAAACCTTTTGCTTTGTAATTCTTTAATAAGCATAATTCTTATTTCATGATAACATCATGCTTGTCAATTTAATCAAAATCTTATACTTTTGGTTGTTTAGTTCTATATCTACTCCTTTAAATTTATTTTGGTTTGTTTAAACAATTCTCATTTTAATTTTAACCATGTAAGTTGGGCCTATCAAAAATGTTACCTAATGATTATTTATTGGGGAAGCAAAGTATTTGTAAAACTGTTTTATCAAACATGTCTAATTTTAAAGGTTTTGTGATTTGGATATACTTCTTGGGTTTACTTTAAAACAGCATTTATGGTGTTTGTACCCATGCACACATATAAAAGGGAATTCATGGTAAACATTACTTTTAAACTTGAATGCACTGGCAGACACACTGACCTCAGTTATTTGAAAGAAAGTCTTTATGAAGCAGGTTTAGGCAGAAGGATATGAAATTCCTCTGAGAATCAGAAGCAGTACAAGGAGCTCCTTTTTATCCCTTTCTATGCTTTCTTCAAATAATTTTTTAATTCAAACTGACTAAACTAAGCCTCTGTTTTACCTGCCTTTGAAGAGATCTTTGCAGAATTGCAGATTTGGAACTGTTTTATACAATTACTAACAAAGTCCTACTTAATAAAACAGTGATTTGCAAATCTTCCAGGATCCATTCTTCCATATTCAAATGAGAAACATTAACAGTGGCCACCCTAACCTAAAAACATTTTTTTGTACATTTCTGGCAACTTGCATTGTTCAAAGAATTGCTTCCTGGTACTTTTTCTCACTTTATACTCTGCATTTGATTATAACTATCTATATATTAGTTTACCTGCATTTGACATATCTCCTTAAACTACCATGACCTAGGCAATAGTGTAAATCTTAGAAATATGAAGAACATGTATCTGTGCTTGGTTAAAAATATGTTTCTTTCTTCAAGTAATTTTATCAGTATTTAATATAGACTTTGTTGAAACTTTGAAATTGTTGTTTACTTCACTCTATTTCATGATACTTTGAAAATGCATGCTTATATAAAACTTTAAAATATATTAGTCAAAAATACACTATAAATGCATGATTCTAGTATAATTATTACACTTTTTAAACATCTGAAATCTCATAATTTTCTTCTTTTGCTTAATAGTTCAATCAATAACAATCAATAGTGCCTGACTATACTGGCAAAGAATGTGGTCTGTCAGGGCACTTCATTTAAGAAATGTATTGGAAATTGCTGTAATTTTATTGTCATCTGTCATGACTCTTAAGATAAACTATTTTACTGTATGTTATTAATTCCTAAGCTAATTCAGAATTTTGGATTTTTCAAGAATAATATAAATATAGAAAAACTAAATCCAATCCATTGAGTCAAAGTTCACCATGAGATTTTAAAGCAAGTTGAATTATTTTTTTAAAGGTTGTTATAGTAGGAAAAAGGTTCTCTAACCCAAGAAGAAAGCAAGTGTAAACACTTACCTTGGCTCCTAGTTGGCGAAATGGCACGAAGTGACTGAGGACACAGAGCCAGTGGTATTTGCCCCTGACCAATGGTTTTGAATTCTGGTCTGTGGGAGGTGGAATTTGTAACACTCAATTTTCTGTTTGAAAAACTAACCTTGAGAAATGCTTCTCAGTCTTTAAAACCCCCAAACTCCTTTATAGTCACTCAAATGAAGCAGTAGAATCCAAATTACATAGTATGTAAACTTCTTGAAATAATGCTAAAGGAGTTGTAATTGCCAATTTGTCACCTTAAACATTTTAAATGGAAAAGTTGGTTTTGACATATCTCATCTATAACAAATTCACCAATTAAATAGTTAATGTATGCAGTGATACTATACATGCACATTTCAGAAATATCCTAATAAGAAATAATTTTCCTAAACCTTGCATATCTTAAATTGCTTTCTTCAGTTTTTATTAATGTTAACTGAAATTCAGTAAAAGTTGTTTAAAATTGGGAATGTAAAAAATATATCCGAATTATTTTGATTGCTTGGAATGCTTTGAGAGTAATGAAACAATGAACCTATTGCATGGATTTTTTTTTAAATGTTTAGAAATAATCACAAATATGGTATGAGGTTTTTTTGGGGGGAGCGGCAGGAGAGGGAGAAGTCTCCTTTTCTTCTTTTTTATCTATTAGAGCCAAACTAATCAAATTGCATTAAAAACTTTCTTTCAGAATATGAAATTTATTTTAGGTTCTTGGAACCTGACATGGTTTGTGAAACTAAGTTTAATTACAGGTGTGAAGATAAAATATATTTGTGTTAAATTTCTATTCTTCGCTTTCATTCACACTGCAAATGTTTTAGAGAAGAATGAAACTTGAGTTTTTTATTCTGGTATGCTTTCCATAAATCTAGGTGTCTGGTTCTCACCTGTGCATCAGGAATCCCTTCTATGACTACAAGTGAATACTGTATTACATTTTGAAAGCAGGCTTCGTCCTGGAAAAACTGCTAGAGAACTCTCACTCTCCTTTCTGTTTCCCTCTCATCTCTTCTTCCCCCAAACTTCTTTGCCCATCAATGCAGGGCACTCTCAGTCATTATCCCCACTACCCTCACCTGCTGCCAAAGGATTTGTTCTCAGTGCTCATTCTTTTTCTCTGGACCAATTTAATCTGTAACTGAAGCTGTGGTAGTAGGTAAAGTATGAAGTCTACCAAGACTTCCTCATGTAGGAGGAGGCCTTCTAGGAGGCAGGGACCTCTTCCTGGCATCTGACCACATTATATAGCAGCCACTTAAGGAACATTTCTGAAAAAGAACCTGAATCTGAGTTCCTTTGCTGGATCCGTTTAGCAGCCATGTTCCCACTATGCAATAGATGATTTTATAGGTTGTTAATTCTCTCAAAAGTGTTTAAACCGACACTCAAATGTTAAATTACATGTGACACAAAGAGAAAACCAAATCAGGTCAAGTTTCAAGATATTTTTACTGAGCCCTTCTGAGGGCTAATGGAGAAGGCAAAGGGACAGTGGTATCTGTCTGTTTCTTAGATTCTAAGGCTGCTTACCTGTCACTAGTTTTTAGGCTCTTTCAGAAGCTTTAGAATAAAAACAGATGAATACATATCTGTGAAAATACCCAATATCTCTTCCTCTTTTATCTCTTTCTCTTTCTTCATAGTATAATCAAGTGCTCTGCACGTTGTCAGAGAGGTGGATATACCTAGTCACTTGCTTTCTGGGGGGTTCTGTAAGCCTATATCCAGAAATAACTCTTTCACGCTGTTCTTTGAATTATTGGTATGTAACTGATGTCTTCCTTCGGCTTCAGAACACTCTGTACTAATGCAGTTGTGTTGTGACTTTCAATATAAGATTGAAAGTAGAAATGATCATTCCTGAGTTTTCTTTCAGATATATAAGCCTTTCATCTTCCTTTAAACAATGGGCAATTTTAAACTTAATTTCTTTCTATTTTATTTGGACCCTCTCCAAAATTTAAAAATCTATTTTGAAATGTAGGAGCTCAAATTTGTAACAATCTCATGAGGACCTAAGCTCTATTGAATAATATAAAAAGGATTAATTACAAGTTCCAGCCTTTCTTATCCCTGGTAAAAATCTTCTAGTTTCATGATAATTTTTTAAATAGGGAACTTGGTTATCGGATACCCTCAGGGGATTCGATATTAAGACTAGTTGCATTATCTAGTAAATTATGTCTGTGGCTTTATTCCTTTAGCCCCAATCCTTTTATAAAGCATTTTGGCTACCAATCTTTAAAAAAAATAATTAAATGCAATCCTGTTTGCCTAAACAGAATTAATTTTAAACAGAAAAGTCTTATTTTAATGATTGTCTTCTCTCTGTTCTGTAGCAGTGGTAAGCAGAAAAGAGTAGTCACTCTGATAGTTTACTACTATCTATCCTTGTCCCCAACCCCAAAAGCTCACATCTATAAGGGCTGCAGGAGGGTATAGACTGCCCAATCAACTCATTATAAAAAATAAAACTATTGCCTGAAATGATTAGCTCAGTTCCAGGAAGAATTCCCGTGTTGCCCATATACATCATGAACCCATATACACCATATGGTCTGTACATTCTAATTTTATCAGGTTTCCTCCTTCAGAATCTTTTAATCTCACCCTGCAGAGCTGAAAACTCTCCTTTGTTCTTAGTTTCTGTCATAAAGTTTGCCTTTCCTTTCTTTACAAGAACCTGGCTGTTTCCTGACAAAGGTATTCTACTGAAGTTCTTTAATGTAGTAGCTGTTTTTTCTTCTTCCTTCATAAAACACATAGATGGAGGGACTTCTTTTTCTTTTGCTTTGCATATTCTCTTCCAAATAATTTCTTCTCTTTACTATTTCAAAAACTACATCCATTCCGAAATTCCTCACATTTGGCTTAATTATCTACAAACTCTTTTCTATATATTGCTTGACTCTTGTTGTTGGAAACTTTCACTCCTGGCTCACTCATATTCTCTATTTATACCACAGTCATCATTTCCAATGATGCCAACCTCCATTCACATGAACCATCTGTCATGCTGACCTGGTAGTTGCTTTAATTTTTATGTAAAGTTTCCACCTTTCTACCTACCCACCATTATTGTCATACCCTTTAGCATGACAATTGCCAGGTATAACAACCCTACTAGTGGGGTATTGTTATAACTTTTTTTAATCTCATGAGACCTTTATTGTATAGACTCTATCACCTTTTCACTATTCATTAAATCTGCTATCTTCAAATTCCTCCTTAACTTTTAATTTGACAGACCATTACCATCTTGTCAAGCATGTTCTACTCTATTTTTCCTTTTATCGTGGCTAGAAAAACCTCAACTTCTGTTAAATTTAACTTCCAGCTCATTCCTCTACTGCATCTGAGAAGTCTTTGTATTACTAGTGAAATCACACACAATGATGACTGGTGTCACTTTAAATTATTAAAGAGCAGTTTTAACCCTAGCCAGAAGATCTACTATGGTTCTCAGTTCAATTCACTTCTCAACACTCTACGTTGACTACTTTATAATATTTCTGTCTTTAAACCTCCTATAATCTTCTCCTCACTGAAAGTCTTTATAGTGAAGGTAGAAGTCATCAGATAAACATCCAATTACCTTTCCACTATCAAATCCACCTGCACTTATATGCATCTTGTTTTCACTTCTGTGACCATGCAAGAATTTTAAGTTCTCCAAATGATACCTAGAGTACTTTTCTGGCTTTGCCTTTATTGTTATACTAGCAGGCTATCTTTGGTTCAGTGCGATTTTTTTCCCTGCCTCATTGCTGTGTCTTCTCTATGTTTATCAGTCTTCTTTTCTTCTACCCAGCCTCTAAATTCTGGAGTGACTCAGATTTTAATTCTATTTTTTTTCTTTTTTTATTTCTGTATCCTTTCTTATTCAGTGACCTCAACTGTTCCCATGATAAACATAGTAAAATCAATAATAATTTTAATAAATAACATTTGAATGCTCATCATAGGCCTGGCACTGTTTATGATCTTCACTTTTGGAAGAGAAAACTAAGGTCCAGGAAGTTAAGTGATTTCAGCTCATAAGAGGCAAAGTCGAAGTCAAAGCTGAAGCCATCTTCTAGCGTCTCCAGCTAGCTGAGTTCACCCTGAGCTGCTGGTACTTAAATGATATTAACTACTTAGATATTGGACATCTTCACTTGGGCATGGAGTTTGAAAAATCACAATGTGCCTGAAATAATGCCCTTTGAGTCCTCATTATACTTTGTTATTCCATTTGTTTTTATCAAGTGGTATCACATTTCTCTAGCTCAATATCTTAAAACTAGAGGCCCAGTGCATGAAATTATGCATGGGGAGGTGTCTCCCTCAGCCCAGCCTAGACCTTCTCCAATCTGGGACCCTTCAAGGGATGTCCGACTGCCGTTTAGGCCTGATGCCACTGGGATCTGACATAAAGGAGCAGTTGGATATCCCTTTCACAATCCAGGACTGCTGGCTCCTAACTGCTTGCTTGCCTTCCTGATTGCCCCTAACCTCTTCTGCCTGCCAGCCTGATCACCCCTAACCATTCCCCTGCCAGCCTGATTGATGCCTAACTGCTTCCCTGCCAGCCTAATTGCCCCTAATTGCCCTTCCTGGAAGGCCTGATCCCTCCCAACTGTCCTCCCCTGCTGGCCATCTTATGGCAGTCATCTTGTGTCCACATGGGGGCAGCCATCTTTGACCACATGGGGGCAGCCACCTTTGTGTTGGAGTGACAGTCAATTTGCATGTTACTCTTTTATTAGATAGGATTATTGAAAATTTCTTCCATTTCCCTAATGTTTTTCCTCCATCCCATCAATAGAAGTGATTTCTACTTTATCTCATTCCACCATTCTCTCTCACTTGAAATACTAAAAAAAAGCATACTACTGGGTTCTGGCTTCTTCTTTAATACTTCTATTATTCAATCTCAAACAACAGATGTTATTTAAGTTGTAAATACTAAAACTTCAAAAGTTTTCATTGAAAACATCAAGTAACTTCATATCTGTCTTTGAATAAAAAAAATTAAAACATGCAAGCCATATGCTGGAAAGTTCCCTATCAGCTAGAGCCTG